ATGCCTTGTTTCACTTTTCAGTCTAGATAATTTTTACAAATTACTCTCTTATGCTTGATTTATAACAGAAGTGGCATACATTTCTAAATTCCTCTGACTTTAGAGTTCGAAGGCATTCATAGAACCGAAATAGGTGGCTTCACAAAGTACTTCTTTTTAAATGACCTCTAACAAGACCTATACAAGACCTTTCTCAATGATATTTCATTTGGCAGTAGTATTAACTTATATCATTTGAAAGACAGAATGAAATTGCTGACTTATAATAACTTTTCCTTTTTATGGTTATAGCACTTACGATATTTAAATCTCATGCTTCTTTTGTACTTTATGGATGAATTTCATAGTGTCACCTTAAAAAAAAAAAAGTGGTTCAAAAACTATCATAGTATGAATTGGTCCCATATTTCAACATTGGTCATTTTTGGAATGTGCTCACGGAAACCATCTACCTCATCCAATATGGTAGTGGTGAATGGTCTATGTGGTTCAATATTTCAATTTTATAGAACCTTTCAAATTGACTCTAATGGCAGCCTTAATTATTAGTGTGTAAAACACTTTATTTGATGCGTTCACTAATGGTATACCTACATGTCATCAAACAATTCTAATTAGAATGTCTTTAAGAAGCACACTGTCCTTTTGTCTTCAATCGAGTTAAGTAACGCGAGTTTATCACCTGAGCAAGTATTAAAGATGATCAACTCTATAAGCTATTCTCAAATTCATTATGCCCAAAACTGTAGAGTTCACATCATTTATCAAAATGCTTGTTAAATGATAGTTGAAGATGAAACTGGGATTGAAGGATTTATAAAGTAACTCAAAATAGTTTTATGCATGTGCACAAAATCATTTGTAATAGTTATTCTATTAATTTCATATTTGAAGTTTTCTTAGAGCATACTACAGAGGATAATGTAGAACTGGTCGGATATAACCTTGGAATGACTTACTACTGATAGGGTAGTTAAATCACATTATACCCTAACCAAAATCCTTTCCTTTCCAAGTATCTTTTAAAAAAAATAATCAGTCCAACAAAGAATGTGTTACTTTTTCTACAAACCTTGATAAATATTGCAACTATTATAAGAAATTTGCTTTATTATTATTCGAAAAAAATTACAAGAAAAATCTAAAAAATCTTAATGATTACATCCATAACAGGAGGACTCCAATCAATTTGATTAGTAATTTGTGTAATTTAAGAATATTTACAAAATTATCATACTAAATTTAACCAAAATAGAAATATGCAATATTGGAAGCATATACAAAAAAAAATTAGGTCTAAAAAAATCAACTAAATTGATTTAAAGTGAATATTGAAATAATAAGGTAATTTTATTAATTATATAGACTTTTATAGAATTAAATGAATTATTAATGAAATGGGTAAATTTTAATTCACAAATTTAGGCTAATCAAAATACCAAAATAATTCATTTAGAACCCATTTAATTGGGTTGAATATTTTACCAAATAGAACCATTAATTTTGAACCCAAAATATTTTGTAAAACTATTAACTATAATGGCGTTAAGCAAAATGGTCAAAAATAATTAAATTAAGCCTAATTTTAATTTCAACAAAATTGATCTAGGAAAATACTGTTCGGCCAGTTTTGCTTCCAATGTTTTGGGCCAATTTTGTTTATTAATTATTTGGGCCATTTAGTATAACTGGGGCATTTTTGTGAAAATAAATTGTCTTTTTTTTTTTCGGATATTTTTTTTGACCATTTAGGATTAAGCATTTGGTAAAAATTAATGAGTTTTTTTTTTTTTTTTGTTGGACTATTTTACTTAGGTCAAATTTAATAATTAAAATTTAAGAGTTATTAATTTAATTAATTTTGATCATTTTATTAAATAAGTTGGATCAAATAAAATCGTTTGATTTTGGATCATAGGAAATTAAATGGAGGATAATTTTAATTTTAATCACATTTGGGTCATTCCGGTTTAGGCAATAGAAATCATAGAGATAAATTATGAGGAAACTAATATTCAAAGACAAACTTAGAAAACCAGAAAACAAAATTACATACAGAGAAAGAACAGTAATCTTCATGAAGTTTTGCCTGGGGTAACCAATAGAGAGAAACTAATCCCAGTCCCTTTCCTTGGCAAAGTTGGCCAGTTTCTGCTTAAGAAGATCAAGACTCACCCTTTGATCACCTTCCCGAACCCCTGTCATCTTTCTAGCAAGAAAGGTTGTCCAGGAATTTGTCTACATGGACAAAAGAAAAGATGCTAGATAAAAAAATAATACTAATAATAATAAGAAAAGAGTCGAGAGACAAGCAAGTGCAGTTTTCGTGGAAAGAGGCTACAACCAAATATAAAAACGGCGTTGGGAAAGGCGACCAGAAAAACAAAGGGATGTTCTATCTAGGAAAGGAGCGAAGGAATTTAATTCTTAGGTAGGTTGTCTTTTGTCTTAACTAGAAATAACCGTCCCGTTACGCTGGGTGAATTATTTTTTTATAATTTTTTTATTATTTTAAATATATTTTAAATTATTTTAATAATAAAATAAATAATAAAATACATAAACATATATAACGTATTAAAATTAATATATATATAACATTTTATATATTGTGATTATATTTTTTTATTAATTTTTATATTATATTTTACATGTTATATCTTCATTAATTATTTGATTAAATGTATGATTTTCAATTTATTATAGTTATAAAATTTTTTGTAAAAATATTTAAAACAAAAAAATAATTTAATTTTTTATGTCTTTATATATTTATATTTATCATATTATATTTTTTTAATTTTATTTTATTATAATAATTTAATATGTAATTTCATATGGGCATTATAGTAATTCTTATAAAATGTCACATGCTAAATTTTCATAAATGATTGTAAAGATATTTTAATAATTTAATATATAGTTAATTTTATATTATCTTAAAATTTAATATATAATATGATAGGAGTATTATAGTAAATTTCAAACAAAATGCCACATATCAAATTCTTATGAAATAATGATAAAGATATTTTAGTAATTTAATATGTAATTAATTTTATATTATATTAAAATTTCACATATAATTTAATAAGGAATTACAATAATTTTTAAATAAAATATCACATATCAAATTTTTATAAAGCAATGGCAAGAGTATTTTAACAATTGAATATGTGATTAATTTTATATTATGTTAAAATTTTAATATATAATTTAAAGTATTATAGTAATTTTGAAACAAAAATTACATATTAACTTCTTATGAAAGGTTTAGTATGAGGGGTATTATAATAATTTTTTTATCAATTATGGTAAGAGGATAATTGTCATAATTATGATTAGAGGGGTATTATAATAATTTTGACAGATTATGATAGGAAGAGTATTTTTATAATTATGTTAAGATAGACATTAAAGAAACTTTGATAAATTATGATGGGAAGGGCATATTTCTTATGAAACCTTCATAAAAATATTTCCATAATTATGATATGAAAAGTAATATAATATATTTTTATCAATTAGGGTAAAAGGGTATTATAATAATTTTGATCAATTATAATAAAAAAAATAGTTTCATAATTATGATGGAAAAAATATTATATTTATTTTAATCAATTATGGTAAATTTTTTTTATTGTAATTATGATAAGAAAATATTATAATAATTATGATTAATTATTAAAAAATATTTTCATAATTATAATATAATGATATTATAATAAATTTAAATATATATCAATATTATATCAAATAAATAAAATAATAATATGATAATTTTTTAAAAAATTATTTTAATATGCGTTATTGATCTGACACGAATTAGAGCTTGAAATCGCTTGAGATAGAGCTCTAGAAGTTCGTAAACCTTTGGTTACCCACAAAACGGAGATTTCACGCAATCAATTAGCAAGTATGAATAAGCAACAACTCAGAAAGATACCCTAACTTGTGCAACTGCAGGGTTCACGTGGCTGTTATCCTTTTCCGCCTAAAGTCGGCTCTCTTTGAAATGATTAGCATGACACAAGCACATAAATCATAACTAAAAACCCAAAAAAAATTTTGTGTGGAAAATTTTGTTCTTATAAATCCCAATCATTTAACAATAAAATAAATATATCAGCAATTACATGTGTATTATTGATATAATATTAAAATTTGATTTTAATAATAAAAATTCAAAATTTAGGATCTTTAATTTTAAAAAAATACAAACAAAAATTTCCTTGAATTGCCCAAATCGTTGGACGCGCCCGCGTATCCACGTCGCTTAGGGCCCCTCCTCACTTCCTTGCGTCCTTCCGTCACTCTATCAAGCATCTCGCGGTTGTGCAGCAGAGTGGGGACCACCCACCAAAAATATTAATTTAAAAAAAATCATTGAGCCGGCGGAGAAACTTTGGAAAAACATAAAAATTAAAAAACAATAAAAAACGTTACAGCCGAATGAGCTGTCACCACGTGTTGAAATCTGAGTGGTATAATAACCGTCATTGGTCCGACCACCACAAATTCTCGCATTGTTTTGTTTCTACCCTCACCGCATCCAGCAGACCAAAATTTTGAGCTCCATAAATTTAAGAATTAAAAACACTTTTGCAACCTCTTATCGGCTCGTTCATCAAAATACCTTGCACTGAAACAGAACATTTTTGACCGATGCTCCGCTGACTCATCCATCCCATCGCAATCTGTTTCTCGTTTCGAAAAAGCCTCCCCACCTTTTCTGACGTGGGACGAATTTTCTCTACCGCATAACCGATTGTTATCTGCCATGTCACCACCCCTCTTTTATATTGTGTTTGCAACCCCAACTTCAGCCGTTAAGACCCAACCCCAATAACCTTAACAAACCTCCTCTTATTAAATCTCACCTCTCTTATATCTTCTATTCTATTCTCCCAAAACGACTGCTACACTTTAACTATTCAACCATTTTTATTTTCTTTAGATAGATTTCGATTTTTAGATAAGGCAGTGTTTGGATAGAGGCCATGGAAATTCCGGTCATACACAGAATAAGCGATTTTGAAGGGGGCATAAACACTTTAAACAATCCATCTTTCCTTTCCCAAGTTTATGCACTTTCGGGGATTGAGAAAATCTACGAAGCTTATAGTTTTTTGAAGTGGGGAGCTTTGATTCTTGCCCTAGTAGCCTCATTGTCTACCATAATCAATGGACTTAAGATTTTGATCATCAGATTCCGGCAACACCATTCTTTACCAGCCCAACCACTTCTTCACGACACGGATTTTGACACTGACACGGATTCTTCCTGCTCATCATCGGACGACGAACCAGAATATGAGGAGCCGTCTAATTCTCAGAACTGGCGACAAGTTGATGAGGATTTTCGGGTTAGAGGCTCGGCTCATTTTATCGACGACCAGTGGCAAAACCGTAATTTTACCCCCCGAACGAGGCTAAGCAGCATCGGGGATTTGTTTGCTTGGGCTGAAGAGCTAACAAGCGGAAAAAACGTGGTGAAGCTGTGGGACAACCTAGGGTTAGGGTTCGGTCTGAACCTCGATGGAAGGGACAATGTTTTAAACGTGTACGACTTTAACAAAGAAACAAAACTCACTTCAATTTTTGGTGGGAAGAGCATCTTTCAGGCGGTTTCAGCACCTTCCTCGTCGCCCGCAGTTGTTGTATCCGCCTGCGCTGACTCGTCATCTCGACTAGTGGCTGTCAGCGCGTGGGACACGCGCCTTCATTGTCAGTTACCGGCTATTCTAGCAGAATGGAGGCCCAAAACATCCGTGGAGAAAATAGCAGCGGTCAATGCTGACGGCGTAGAGAAGGTTTACATCAGGGGTGACGTCACGGGGAAGTTAACGTTGGGTGATATGAGGAAATTGAGCTCGCCGTTAACGGAATCTGACGTGGATACTTGGTGGGATGCTGACGCCGTCATCGTCTCGGACAAGTCGGTTGACGAAATGTGACTCCGATAACGCGGTTATTTAGAAAGAATAAGGCTTGATTAAGTGTGAAAAATTGTTGAAGGGCATCTTTGTAAATAAACATTTATTGTCCTTAATTTATGACTGTAATGTAAGACTTATTAATTTTGCTTGGGTTCAAGGAATTTGATCGCGTGTCTTGTTGCTTCGATTGGATAAATTCTCGATTCACTCATGTGTATAATAATAATAATAATATAATAATAATTTGATTCCGTTAAGATTAGAAATCTTTCCGGTAAACCTAGCGAAATAAACCGAAGCTCTCTTTGGGAACAAGTCACAACTTAAGTATAGCAAAAGCCAAAGATTTCAACTGTTTTTTTTTTTTTTTTCTTTTTTTAATACTTTATTTGGTTTCTTATGTTTATGGAATTGCTCAAATCAAGACATAATTTTTTAGTTTTAACAATTAAAGATTTAATTTATTCAAATATAATAATTAAATTTTTTTATAAAATCTAACACATATATTGCACATGTTGTTAAACCATATGAATTGTGTAAATTTTGAGTGACGAAATATTTAATTTTAAGTGTTTTTTTAATTCTTTTTTTTTCTTTCCAAAACTCTCTTTTCCTCTCTAACTCATATCTTTCTCTTTGTATCATCTTTTATTCTTAACCCAAAAAATTAAACTCTTTTGATCTCATACCTTCCTTAATTTTAAGGGTTTTCTTGCTTGAAGTGGAATACTTCATTTCTTGAGTTTTTATGCAATAAACATTTTTTTTAACTTCTTGAAGTTTTTTTATGATTTTTTTTGGTCATTTGGGTTTTCAGTTAGAGTTTTAAGTTCAAAATTTTTTTCTTAATCAAGCTATTCTGGCCTTTATTTTTATGGATTTCCTTTTTTTAAAAAAAAAAAATTCAATTGACGGGTATTCTTTAACTTGGTGATTGTCTTTTTGCTTGTTTCTCATCCTTGGAATTGTATGATAATAGCGTATTGTGAGAAGAAGGTTCCTTAAAAGTGACTTTGGGATCAAGATTTCTTCGTTTAAGCTTTTGGAATGGTCTGTGGTGATGGTTTTAAATCAAGATTTAAGGGTTTTGAGAGATGAGTGTTGGAGGAATTCGATCTAAAAGATTTACTTCTTTCAGCTAAAAATTTCTTTATTATAAAAGTGGCCTTTCAAATTGCAAAAACAATGGGTGACATGAAATTCTTCGCAGTTTGTTTTTTTGGGTTTCACTACAAGAAAACTAAGTTTTAGCAACGAAATTTTCTGTTGCTAATAATTCGTCAAAAAGTGTGAAGTTGGAAAAAGTATTCGATCACTAATAATTTTTCTATCGGTAATAAGTGGACCATTAGAAATGGAAAATCCCGTCTGTAATACCTTAACTCCGTTGCTAAAAAAAATTAGCGATGAAATTTTCATCATTACAGATTATTAAATTTTAAAATATTTTAAAAATAAAATATATAATTTCGTCGCTAAAGATTGTATAGTTTAAAAAATAAAATATAAAAATTCGTCACTAAAATATATATGTGACGGATTTTCAATCGCTAAAGCATTAATTTTTTGAAATCTAGGGATCAATCTTGTTTAAATGAGGATCAATCCTTTTGATTTTTTGTCGCTATTTCTGTTGCTAAAACTTTTTTTATTTTTTCGATTTTGGAGAATGATATCTATTCATAGGAATTGATCCCTATTCATAGAGGATTGATCATTCTTTAAAAAAAATTAATTCTTTTCACTTTTTAGCCAATTTTTCAATTGCAAATGCAATAAAAATAATGCATATAAATCTTAAATCAAATAAAAAAAATCCTAGAATTCAAATTCAATTTATTTTCATATAAATTCAAAATATCCATCACACAATTATCATAAATATCCTTACTTAATTATCGAATAAATCCATAAACATTTATAAACATTTATAACCATCGACAAAAATTCAATCGCTTAAACAGTAAGAATGACTAAATGTAAATGTATACATGAAGTTTTTAGTATATGAGACATGCAACACACCTAAGTTTTTAACTAAGATCCATTTACAAGACCTTTAATCAACTATATGTGAAGCTTGTATTACAATTTACAATATACATGGCAGCAAATGTTTAACCTGCATTAAACATTAAAAATAATTGTATAAGATATGTATTTCTACTCAACAATGTGATGTTATTAAAGAGAATTGAAAGCTATTCTTATGAATCATCATCCTTATGACTTTAAAATTAAGGTGTACGACATTAAAAAAAAAAAAAACATTTTTCTTCATTTCATGCAAAACTTATAATTGCAGGGTGAAAAATGGACAAATTTCACATAATCCACATAAATTACACAAATTTCACAAAATTATCTAAAATTCCTTACAAATTACACAAATTCAACATCAATTTCACACAAATTTCAACTCATTCCATACAAATTAAGTAAATTTTACATATCCACATAAATTTTACAAATTACTAAAATAATCCCAAGTGTTTGTTTGATAATTAACATTTAAAATTTTAATAGAAAAAGAAATTACCTAGTGTTGTTGAACTCTAAGATGAAATAACCAAGTTGTTGTATCCTAAACCCTGTAAAATAAAAATTATAAAAAATAATATTAACAATAAAAATTTTAACATAAATATATTTATTAAAAAGAAAAAATATTAAAATAACAAAAAAAATCAACAAAACATAAATTAAACTCATAACCTAAATTTAAACTTAAAAAATAAAAGAAATTAGAAATGAAAAAAATTAAAAAAAATAAAAAAAATATTTACTAAAGAGATTTGAGGGAGAGGAGTTGGGGAATTTTGAAGGGTTTGATTTGGGGTGGAAAAAACTGACAAGGGTGCTGGCAGTTCATTGAAAAAGGAAGTAGAAGAGTGGGAAAGGTTTAAGTCAGTTTTAGGCGATTTAGGAGTGATTTGGGTCAAATTTAGGTCTAGTCCCATTTGATTGGGTTTGGGGATAATGTCAGTCGTTGAAGGTGGTTGAATGTGGCTAGAGTTGGCTTGGATAGCCTTTGTATGATAGAGGGTCGATAGGGTAGGGAGAGAGGAAAGAGGAGAGAAGTAAAAAGAAATAAATGAGAAAGAAAAAAAAAGAGGGAAAAATTTAAAATGATTAAGCATTAGCAATGGAATTTTTATCGGTAATAGATAAAAATTATTTTGCTAAAAGATCTTGCTAACACTAATAAATAAAAATTCCATAAAAAATAAATTTTATTTTACTTAATATAAAAATGGTTTAAGGTATTAGCTACGAAATTTTTGTCACTAATTTTGGCCCCATTTTCAAAATTTTGTCACGCCCTAATTATAAATGTAGTTTTCGTTGATAATTTGGTATTTTTAGCGATGAAATTCTAGCTCTAAATCTGTAGCTAAAAGAAAAACACTATTTCACTTAAATACGCTGTTATTCCATAGTAAATCCATCAACAATGATAAAAAATTTTATATATTTTTTTTTGTTGTTATTGACTTGATTTCCTATAGTGTTTTGGAAATTCAAACCTATTTCATAATTGTTTCTATCATTCTCATCTGAACCTATTAAAAATCTCAAAATTATACAATTAAAACAAAAAATCGACTAATTATTTAAAGATTCTAACTTAATGTTCCTTGAGGGAAATTTTTTAAAAATGCATATAAAAAAGTAGAAAAAAGGAAAGTTTATTTGTTAAAACTAACTTTTTAGGTTTTTTTTTTTACTAAAATATAATTTCTTGTATTTATTTATCTCTTTAATATTTTCCTCAAAAAAATGATTTTTACACGCTAGCATCCAACATGCATCTTATTTGGAAATAATTTTATCCACGTGAGGAAACTAACGATGCATGTAATAAAAATCTAGGTTTAATCCAAAAAAAGTGTCACGGTGCATGTAATAAAAATCCAAATTTAATCCAAAAAAGTTCTTGATTGTTACATCTCGAATAGGTTTGGTACTTAATTGTTAAAATTCGAAAGTCAGGTACTCATTTGAGCAACTCTGCAAACATTAGGAACCAAATTAAACATTTAGCTATTTTTGTTTCTTTTACTAACATTAAAGGGAAATGGTCTGACTAATCGAAAATCCTAGTTAGCTTTTAAAAGTTGTTTGGAATTCAATTCAACATTCTTATATAGAAGAAAAAGACTAGAATGTCAAGAAAGCAAGTGTACTAAGTTGTTATGTGTTTATGCTTATTCTTAATTACTACAATAAAAAACCACATGCCAAAAATGACCCATTTGCTTTGAATAATCTAACCCTAAATGGGATGTTCGCAAAGTCTTTCCCCATAAGTACTTATATCTTAAATAAAACCAAAAAGTTTTAGTACTTTCAATTTCTAATTACATTTTTTAAATATACATACATAAAAAACTATTGAACCTTTTCAATTAGCTGGATTGACAAAGAGATGGCCCTACCCCTAACTTCTTACAAAATCCTTGTCAATGTATATAAAATTAATAGGCAAAAAGATACCTTTGTCCTTTAATTATGTAAAAAAGTCATTGTGGTCCTTTAAATTTTATTTAAGTTATTTTGGTCCTCATCTTTTATTTAGAGTCAATTTAACCATATTTTTACATGAAAGAATCATGTGATTGTATTTGATAGAAGGCATTGTTAGAGGCATCATATCAAATGCCATGTAAGTAAAAATTATGATGTCATTGATGACATGGCAGTCTAATAAAAATTTTTCTTATTTTTTTTATTTTCTCTCTCTTACAATCTCTCTCTAACTTTTAGAATCTCAAAGGCAACCACATTTTATCTAAAATTCGATGTTTGACCATGGTGAATGACCATTGTTATCCAAAAAAACTGTAAAACTCCGCTTGATTTCTTTTAACTTTATTCAATTTTTTTTGAAATCCCTAAAAATCCCTATATTTAAGCTTGAATTTTGACTTCAAAAAGTGTGTACCAACAGGTACGAATTTTGAATTGATATAAAACCTTTGCACTGTAACAAAATGGCAAGGGAAACAACAATC